TGCCTTCACAAAGAAAGAAGGTAAGCAATGAAAGCAGAACACTTTGATGTTTCAGACTGGTGTTTTCTTGTGTACATTTAATATGATCGGCTTAGTGACTCTATAATTAATCAATTCCTGCAATTTCTTTTTCAAAATTATTTTATGTTAGACAGTCCATTTAGGCAACTGATTATTAAGGCTGGATGTGACTTTATTCATTATAGATTTTTTCTCTGAAGAATCAAGTAGTTATAAAAATGTTTTTGTTCCCTAAGAAATGCATTTGAAGACATGTAAGGAATTTCCTAGGTGAATTTTGTCAGTGAATGGTGCTGAATTGCCCCTTCAGATGTATGAAGTGCCAGGAATAGAATTCTGAGAGCTGGAGGGAGGATTAAACGGTACCTTCAGGTATGCTTTTAGGGATGATAATGTGAAACTTTAGGGGCATGAAATTAGTTCAGGCATTTTCATGTCATTTTATGTCAAGTGTTTTTCCCCAACAAGTTTTGCAACAGTTATACTTACAGTTCTGAACATGGTGAAATATTAGGGAAAACCAGTGTCCAACAGGGGTTAAAGCGTGGACATTTACTTGTCATTATTTTGTGTTGTAGTTATTTTTTTTATTGTGAAAATAATATAAATAATGCCTGTAAGAAGCAGCTAAAAAAATATCCACCCACTTACAGTTTGCAGATTGCTGGGGAAAAGAAACAGTTGGGTGGAATATTAATCACTTCAGGCACGGAAATGCTTATTTTTAACTCTTTCTATAAAAGACTTGTGTTAGACAAGCGTCAATTGGTGTGATTAGTTGTCCCCTTTCCTCTTTATTTTCTATAGTAAAGGCTAATTTTGCTTGTAGTTCTGTCTTGAAGAATAGAACGTTGATAGCAAAGAAAAAGCTAACTCCTAAATGGTCATGTAAAACCCTTCAAAGGTACATAAGGGAAAAAGAATTAATTTAATCTGGTACCTGGAGAGTGTGTGTACATACAAAACACACCCTGTTTTTCAGTAGGGCTGAACGCGCCAGTTTTGTGTTTTCTAAAATCTGCCGGTATAAATGTGCTCAGCAGTTCTCTGTCCGTCCTGTCGCTGTGACTGAGCACCGTGCCCCTTGTGCTCCCTCCCACTCCCACCAGAAGATATCCCACCAACCTCGCAAAAGTTACCGTAAACATCCCCCAAATGCTGGAAATATTTAGTTTTATCAATCTGTGGCTGGAAGGCTCGGCAGTCTGCTTGGAGTAGTGCTACCTATTTTAGTTCATGAAAAATTAAAATCTGAGGGTCAGATCCAATTTTTACTGAAGTCCAAGACAAACTTTGGTGACCCTAAGGGAACAGCATTAGACCTTCAGGTAGCAAATCTGTATGTGCAAAGCATCCCCTATATTCAGTTTTGTATGCTTTCTCCTTTACTGAAATGATGACAGTAGCTATTCTGCTTTATTGTACCTGGGAAAGAACCCTGTCTTCAGCGAAATGGTTTCTAGACTCTTATTCCAAATGTCAAAAATACCGGAATGCACAAATGGCACGTCTGTGACATATACATCAATCTAGAGGATCTGCGTATGTCAGTTCTGGAAATAAGTGCTGTGAGTTTTCTTTAAGTTAGTACTAACGGGGGCTTTCACCGTGACATTTGAAACACCCAGGTGCTTTCAGTGACATACTCTGCTGCTTTGAAACCTTAAAAAATTATGAAATATGAAAAACTTGGAATATCCTGAAAATTATGCAGTTTCTGCCAGTTGCTACCATAAATATTGGACTTCTAGGCTTTATCCCCTTGAGCAGGTTTTAAAGACTACTTCCTTTATTTCAGCCTTGTTTCAGATAAAATATTATGGAAATGAATGTAAAGCCCTTTCTCTCTATGCACACTGTTCTCTTGTTTGGTTGTTCTGATGTTGTTGAGCTGTTTACCAGAGAAAGTTTCAGCTCATTAGAAATACAAAGGATGTTATTTTAAAATATTCAGAATTCCAGTGATTCTGTGAAAATTATATAAACCATTCTCTTACTTGCAGTTCCGTCTTTATTTTAAGTTATAAATATGCTTCCACTTTTACTATGAAACTTTAAATTTTGCTGTGTTCTCTTAATTAAAGGCTGTATTTCAGGGCAGGACAGATTGATTCCTGTGTATATTTGTATTTATGTGAATTTATTTACTTGCATAATATGACAGACATTCTTATTTTGGTGTTTGTGTGTTTTTGAAGGGTATTGAATGTGTAGACGTTTCTGGCACTTTATAAATGGCACTCGCTGACACTTTAGACATGTAGGATGTTTCTTTGTGGGGCTTCTTTCCCAACTGAAATAGGATTTTTTGAAAATTACAACTCAATGAAGTCCTTGGAATAATGCCTGGCTGCCTTTTGTTAGTTACACTACTGTGACTTTCCAGATGTAAATATGTGCATTTTGGATCAAATCCTGTGACCCCATGAGTTCCACTGAAATAATAATGAGAGTAGTTACATGAATGGGGAGTAAGGCAAGCGTGAGTTTTCAGGGTCAGATCCCTTATTACCTTATAATCTGGGTAGGAAATGTCATTGCATCTAGTGATAACTGGGTGCCTTTTATTAGGAAATTTGCCTTTTAAGTTGCACTTGGAGCTAACTGACCCACTACAGTGAGAAAAGGAGATCTGGAAAATGTAGCGTCTGCTTGCACAAATTCTCATATGACTGCAGCACTGTACCAATAACACTGATGAAAGGATGGGCCCTCTGGTTTGTATTAGGTTTTTACTGCCCTTGCTTTTGTTTTCTGTTGTGACTATTTCATAAACTAGTATATTGCAGCCTTTGGATACAGTCATGTTCTCTTTGGGACACAGCACGTGACGGAGTGAGTGTATTACCCTCGGGTAATATGTTCTATATACAATAGTAATAGATGTGGTAGAAACGCCTAGATTAGAAAGAGGGGAATACCTAGGGATTACAACAATGTAATAGAGTTCTGCCAGGGCAAAAATCTATGTCTTCAATTTTTAACCTGGAAGATGGGGATAAGGTGACTGTAACACTACAGATTTCAGGTTAAGCCTGAACTTGTGACAGAACAAAATTCTCTCAGTTTGGATGCCAATGGGAGAAGGAAGTTAGAAGTTCACATATCAAAAATTTTGCCGATCAGCGCTGTTCTGTGGCTTCCTGATTGAATATGACAAGACAGCATGAATATGAACTTTTTGAGACTCAAACCTGGCAGTAATGAGGTGTTTCCCATTTCCTAAGCCATAGTTCAGGCTCATGCCATTGGTGTTGCCTAACTATTTATTAAAGCCAGTAAACAGGTTAATGTTGCTCAGTTGTTTTCAGTTTTAATGATGTTTTAAAGATAATGACTTTAATTATCTACACAGGCAAGGTAGAGTTTCTGTCTCCACAGAAGAAACAATGCCGTATGTTGCTTAATCTTTTTATGGCGTGGTAAACACATATGAAATCATCTGAGTTTACCCTTGATATCTTTCGTTACACAGTGCCCTTTAGGGAGGCTCCCACCTATTCAAACAGAAGGCGGAGACCCCCAAGCACCTTAGCAGCACCTCGGATCTTGCTTCGTTCCAACAGCGACAACAATCTGAACATCAACAACCTCCCCGAGTGGTCAGCCTCCTCCTCTGCTTCTTCACACCGCAGCCTTTCACCTCATCTGCTTCAACAGATGCAGAATAATCCTAATGGAACTGTAAAAACTGTGGGGAGTTACACTCCGTCCTCCCGGAGCCGGTCACCATCTCTAAACAGGCTGGGAGAGGATGCCAAACGGCAGCAGCACAGGCACATCAGGTGACTTTTTGACTATTTGCACAGCATGACATATCCCTAACATCATCATGCTGGGCTGCCATGTTCTTTTATGTTATTTATATGCCCATTTTGCACTCTATGTAATATATAGGTAATAAAATCTCAGCACAGTGGAACATGTCCAAGTGTGAATATTTTAATTGGAACCTCCAGTCAAAGCCAGCTGTTTCTTCACAGAGCTCCAGCAGCCAGGCAGACTTTAAAGTTCCACAAAGCTCAGCAGTGACTTATCACTGAGTTTGCACCTCCAAATCAAGGCGCTAGTTCTCAAATTCTTTTAATAGTTGAAATAATGATTGCATTTAACAGCAAAGTAAAATATTTCTGAGGTACTTGGTCTATTCAGGAAACTATTGGTCATGCCTGAAACCTATGTTGGAGCCGCTCATGGGTGATGAAGCAGGGACTGTTTTAAGTTCTCTCTTCTGTAGATGTGCGCTGAACCAAAGAGTGGAATAGAGGGAATACCTGCAGGGAATAAGCGGGGCTGTGTAGGAGGCTGGCCTAGAGCAAAGTGGGCTTCTTGAGATGGTGGTGATAGATGTTGTGGGCTTCTTTTATTTATCCTTGCTGCAGGGCTTTGCATTCCCTATGACTTTGCTGCTCTTCCTTTCCTCTTGAATTACGAATGTGGTTTAGCAGGCACTCTCTGCAAATATCCTGCAGCTATGTCCCATCGGAGAGCAAATCTTGACTAATTAGAGTGATTAAGTATTGTAAGTAATATAATAAAACAGTGGATTGTGTCTAGTTTTGATCACAAATGGGGGCTTCAGCTTTGTGAAGCCACTGCCTTGTGAATAAGCAATTACAGCTTCACTTTGAAGAGGACTTGGGAACTGCCTCTGTCAAGTGTGCAAGCGATGGAGCTGCACCAGGACAAGGGGTTAAAGCACAGGGATACAAAAATGAGGGGAGGCAGAGCTGAGTACTGATGGAGAGAATTAGAGCTTAAACGTTTTGACCAAACATGTTTAATTCAATAGTCATTTAAAATATCAGGCTTTTTCTGTCCTGTTTGCTAATATATATGTTAAAAAAATACACTGTTCAGAGTAGAAAAGGACATGACTATTGTTAAGAAATGCAGCTGTTGGTTGGTTTCTCGTTGTCATCTATAGGTGTAGTGGATCTTTACCTGAGTTTTCAGGTCAGTAAAACAAAATGTCATGTAGTTGAAGCTGTCACCTCATACCTTGCACATTCTTCTTCTCTCCTTGGCTGTAGGCACCTAAACTGACAAGCACTGTTTGTGATAGTAACAATAGTACTGGAGAGTGGAAATACGGTGCATTGTAAAAAAAAAAAAAAAAAAAGGTGTCTGAAATATAGGAATCACTGGAAGGAACAGGACACAGATTTCTTATGCAGTGGTTTCAGGCAGCAGAGTAAACTCATCTTACCTTGTTGTATATTACAATAGTGACAAATCTATTTTGGTTCTAATTTGGGTGACACTTCTTCACAGAGACCTGTATCAGGTTAAAAACACCCTGTAATGAGGCTTCGCTTACGTGAGGAGGTGGCTGTGAGGTGCTTTTCAGAGAACGAGTGCCCTTGTATTCCACTGGATACTGGTGATACCACCAGAGTAGGAGGTTTTGCCTTAGAGTCAATGATTATTTTAGCTGGAAGGGATAAAAAGTGCCTTTTCATCAATATTCCTGGGATAATGGGCTTCCAAATTCTTGAAGTATAAAGAATCCTTCAGGGTGTGGGGTAAAAATTAAAAAACTTTTTTGAATAAGCAAACATTTATTTGCTTTGACTTTATTCAGCCACTTTCCTCTTCCCTTTCTGAAAGCACGTGATTTTGAAAACTAGAACAAATGATAGTGGAAACCAGTTTAATGCCTGAAATTTTGTGGAAATAAAATTTTGGTCTTTCACAGCTACTTAAACTGCTACCCAGCTGCAGAGTTTCATATGTACCATCAAGGCTTGTCTCAGAGATGTCCAGAGTACATGCAAGTACTGAGAAGAGAAATGGAAGCTCTAAAGTTGAAGGCAACTAAAGGGATTTTATATATGATTTTTCCTGCAAGCAATGCATTTTCTTGCCACAGGCCTGTTTTGCAGTCATGAATGGCACCTTACATGACACTTTCCTCACAGATTTTGTTTAGCTGTATGACCACCTACTTACTGTCAGCTAGATGTGGGAATTGTTGCTGTCTCTGCTTATTATTTGCAGATAATATATTCACCATGAAGTTATTGCTCCCCTGAGATGAAAAAGCCCTTTTTGACCTAGCAGTAGATTGGGTTGTGGAGCAGAAGCAGCCAGAAGGGGTAGGTTAATGGAGAAGGTTAGAATATGACAAAGGGTTAATGAGGTTTGTGAGGTTTGCATTGTGGAAAGGGCTGGAAAGTGATGCTGGAAGGGGTTCATGTGATCGCTACAGCCTGTGTGGCTCAGGTGTTTTATCTTCTCGTGAGACTGCTGCTTTTCCTACCAAACTGGTTTTGGGGGGGCGGTGGGAGGCAGGGGAACTAGCACCCTTCCTGTGGAATTTGTCGGACAGTGGTTAGCCAAAGGAGGTGCCAGCACAGCCTCAGTCTGTGGCTGAGCCGTCAAGGATGGCCACCTTCCTCTGGGTGAGAGGGAAGCGTGTCCACACGTCTTCTGAAATCTCCGCATCCTCCTCCTGCTCCTCCATGGCATGGGACTTGCTGGGCTGGGAGCCCAAGCTGGGGACAAAGAGAGGAGAGGACAGATTTTTTTTAAGAAGTCATCTGTCCTGCGTTGCAGCCCTGCTTTCCATTAGTAAGCCTGTCTCATGAGAAATGATGCATTCAGTGCGAAGGTTAAATGTGCCATTTCCCCCTCCTCTTTCAGTAAGAGAGAAAATGAATCTATCTGCTGTGATAGGAGTTAAAGAAGGTGCTGGGATGTAACATTGGGAATAGCTGCTACCTGGCTGCTACGAGACTAGGTGGAAAATACAGCTTGATACAGTGGAAATCGGATGTGTAGCTGCTGTTTGTAGATGTGGATTTTTTTATGGTGATGGCTGTTTCTTCGCTTATAAGGAAAAAGAAATGGAACAAGAGAACTGAAACCTGAACGTCACCTTTTCCCACCTTCCTTTAAACAACTGTGAGAGTTGGCTGAGGTTTCTGGTGCAAACCCCATCACAGACATACAACCAGAGCTCAGTTTTAAACTCTTAAGTATGGCTTATCTTTATTAGCACCTGTTCACAGTAATAGAACAGAGCAACGAGATGAAGGGGGGATGTTATTGCAAATGGTAAAGAAGTTACTGCAGGAAAATGGAAGTGATATGAACCTTTCCTGATATGAAAGGTCCACTATGTTTGGTTTTTTACCAGATAACTTCTTTAGCTATACTGAGAGCCTTATTGACTCCTATTTTGGTAGGAGATTGGTTAACAAAAAAAAAGGCGAAGAAACAATAAACTCTAACCCTCGCATTTAGTTTTGTTTGTAGCAGTTTGAGAGCTTTTCTTTCTCCTTAGAAGAAAGTAGAGCAGAGGTTTTTTTAAAAAAGGGTATTTTTAAAAAAGTTTTTTAAAAAAAGTTGAATAGTCATGAATTGCATTTGTTACAACATCTCCTATACGTTTTCCACCTTCTTTAATATTTGCCTCTTTTTCCCTTTTTGTATATTTTTGACAGTTGACTCCTTTTTCTGGAGGTTTAGTAATGATCTTACGCATTGTTTACTCACTTTCAATAATTCCTTCTTTATACATCATAAGTAGATTGTGTGTTGCTTGATGACCTATGGTTTGTCTGGGCATACCATTCTGAAGTCATTGGGAGAGCTATTGATCACAATCAAGAAGAAATGATCTTTTGGAGAATATGTTAGCCATAAGAACCATGCTTTCTGCAGATCTAAAATTTAGCTTCAGACCTTGGAGTGATGAAGTAACTTGAGTATTCAGTCCATTCAGTTAATAATTCAGTTGTCTTGATTGTTCAGTTAACATTACAGTATTACAAAGATATCCATTCCCAACAATAATTGTAAATACTGATGTTTTAAAGTCTTTCTGACAGATTGTGATGCTTGCGATGTATGATTTGCATATAAATTTTAAACTTCATCAGGGTCTGTGAATGTGCAAGTTTAATTTGCAGAAAACCTAAAAACTTCGGTGTTACGTGTTTTCTTTTCTAGGCCATCATGGTCAGATGAATATTGATCATGTTTCATGTTGAAAGATTTCAACCATTAAAAGCATGTGTTTAGGATGAAAAATGTGTATTTTTTTCTGCAGGGTTAGATGTCTTACTGTAAGACACTGTTATTCACTCCTTAACTTAATCCTGGTAATGTGATAGTAAATGATGAACTTTGCTCGTTTTAAATAACCGGTTAATGTTTTTTAATTTCAATTTCCAGTGCCGTTTACAATCCTAGTGCCAACAAGGATACTCTGTCTGCCTTGGATTATCAGGGTCCAAAACGCAAGCTTTACAGTGCTGTACCTGGAAGACTTTTTATTGTTGTAAAGCCATATCAACCTCAAGGAGAAGGGGAAATTCATCTGCACAAAGGAGAGAGAGTCAAAGGTGAGTACATAATTAATTTTGAATAAATATTTCCTTCTGCTACGTGGAAATTTTAGTTTAAAATTCTCTTCTATTTTCGAGGGAAAAAAGAAATCTGTTCAGTGCAAGTGCTTTTATGCATTTGTTTCTTTGCAGGATATTTTGCTCCTAGATCTATTTTGTAACCGATGCATATTTAGCTACCATTTTAACTGTAGGTGACTTCAAGGTACTACTAAAATTCAGAAGTATGTGTGGTAATAACAGCATTGTCTTTTACACAGGGCACGTAGTTTGCTTCTGTAGTCATTATAGAAAGACAACTCCAGGGCTTTAAAAGGTTGTAAATGTGTCAACTATCTAAGCAGCTCAGGAAGCAAACAGGGATAAGGTCAAGTCTGTTTCAAGCCCTCTCCTCAAGGAACAATTTATTGGTTAAGTAGATGTCCCCTTGTGAGACTTAGGATGAGTAGGTAGGTAGAACCTACTGTAAATATTTTGTGGAGGAAGTGCACGGATAATTTCTGTCCACCGGTGCGCGTTACCAACTAAGAATATGTTAAAATAAAGGTCAAACTTTATGTTATTATTTTGAAGATGGTAAGTACATCCAGGGACGGCTGAGAAAGTGGGCGATGTGGTTTACAGGACTGACCTTCCTAAAAGTGCATTGTTATGCAGTTTCAGCTGTGGATTTGCACATCCGGGTAGAATTGGTCATGGAATAAAAAGACTTTCTGCTCAGTCCATACAAGCCAAATACCAGTTATGGAAATCTAATAAAAGGGAATAAATTCAGTGTCCGAAATTAAAGTGTTAAGCAGCTGAAAATTTCCTTGCAACTGAGGCTACTTATCTTACAAAGGAAAACTTCAAATATCTCCTCCTTGAGCCTGCAAACAGTAGTTGGAAAAAAATGGGGAGCCATTATGAGATATTTTTATTTTTCGATGTGGCTTATTCTGAAGCGTTTGTGGGTTTTTTAACTCAAGCCTTCAGAAGGTATAGGACAGAAATCTGAAGAATGCTGCACTTAAAACATATGCAAGGTTCATTTTATATGCAAGGATGAAGGAGGAAGGTTAAACTTAGGAGAGCTAGTGATGTCTGTAGGGCTGAAAAGACAGTTTTGCAGTTCTGGGAGATTGTGCCCTGATCAGGTAGGAAGCAATCATTATGTTCTAAAGAAAATAGTGCACAAGAACTTTTGGAAGAGCCCATATAAACTTCCTAAAGCATTATAAAAGTTCCCAATTAATGAAAGTTGTCTGTGCTAGAGTAAAATTAATAGAAGGCAAGCAAATCTCAGAGGTTATAGAATTTCTTGGGAATGCCAAATATCAAATAAAATTCAGGTCATAAAAACCAGAAATCATCTTCAAATTCAAACAAAATTGACAGAACTTTGCATGGTTTGGGAACTGGCTTTGCAGGCATCCACTATCTGAGAATAAATGCAAGAGAAGTAATGCATATTAGCACTTCATAAAAGCCTTCAAATGTCAAAAGAATGGATACAATCTAGAGAGAGATAAAGCTTCATTATGAGTAACTGTCACACAAAAATGTAAAGCAAAGTAAAAGCAAATGTGGTCTTTATTTACAAAAGAATACTGACTCTTGGGTTAAAATATGGAGGCCTGGGCTCTTCTGTGTGGAGTGTGGAGTTCTCATTGGAAGGGTGGAGGAACAAAACAGTTGAGAAAGGTGCTTGTTGATCAATTACAAAAAAATGAATAAAATGTTGCATATAGTGGGGAAAAAAAAGGTTAAAAAAAGCAAGACTTAATCATACCCCAGAACTCTTTGCTTATTTGTAATGTCAGAGAATTTAACATCACCAGGAGGAACTGTTGGTACCTAAAAAAGATGAAATCTTGGGGGTCATGAGTGGTACTAAACTTTCTACACTGAGCCTGTTTACGGAGATCTAGGAGGTGCCAATAGGTAAAGAATGAGTATGGTTGAGCACCATCGTCTGTTCTCTGGGGGACGTTGTACACAGTTCTGTTCAAATGACTTGTTGGATTTAAAGATGTAGCAATATTTTTGTTTATGTAGAGGATGTAAGATCAACACAGATTCCTGTCACCAGAATAAAACAATAGAGACTTCAGGCAGTTCTGGAGAAAGACAAGATAGAAAATGTCTTCCTTGGCAAAAGGGGAAACAGTGCAACAGGTTGTTTGGGATGCTGAATTTTGTAGAAGTATTTGTTATCTGGCTGCTTGTTTACATTGGAATTTGAGACTATTTTATGCAAAAATACCCCAAGAATAAGGGATTTAAATTTCAGTGAAGATTTTAATTTTTTAAAAAAATTAGTTCCGGAGCCCTTAGTTCTAAGTTGTTATGACAGTAACTGGAAAACAATGCCGGAAGAAATGAAGCCACTTTTCAGATCTTCTTACAATAGCATGATCTAGGCTTGAGACCAGTGATTTTTGTGGGGTACGCTAACCAATGAATGTCAAAATGCTGAAATAGAAAATGAGATCATGTCTGGTCTGTGAGTTTAGAATCTTTATTTATGGGGAAAATGTTTATTTACTGAAACTGACTATAAATTAATTATTACTGTTAGAAAAAGAGGGACATGCTCATCCAACATCAAATCATCCCTGCAGGGATTATTTTTTCAACTTCAAGTATGTTATTTGCACATTGAATTAAAATCTAGCAGAGGCCTAGCATTTGCAGGCACACTTGTTTTAGAGCATTTTATAGAATTTTGATGCAGTAAAATCCAGTGAGATTTCTTTACATGTCAGTCTGCTTTTAGAAAAAGTTTGGAAAAAGAAAAAGTGTACATAGGGATTGTCAGTGTTACTACTTAGGACAAAATCTTGTGAAGCGTAATTTAAGGCTGTTTGCACGGTAAGGCTGGAACACCGTATGACGGACTCCCACTGCTAATCAAAGGAAAAACTTCCAGAACAAGATCAAATCCTATTTCATGTTACCATGTCAATGGTTCCTCAGTTGTCACAAAAAATATGTCAGAATGAACACAACAAGGTCATGTAGAGAACGAAGAGTCCAGGTAAAAAGACAGTAATGCTTTAAAAAGGTCTCAGTTGTGTAACAGTGTTGAAGAAACCATTCAAACTTAGCATATGTGACAAAAATCCAGGTTCAATTAAATCTGGATTCACGTCCCTGTTCCTGTCAAAATGTAATTATTTATAGAGAATAAAAATATTACTCCAACGTGAGAGACTGATAGGCTTCCTCTCCATCATCCAGAAGCACAGGCGGTAGAGCTCTTATAATCCTCAGTACTTCTTGCGCGCTGCGCGAGTGCCAGAACCACTGGCTATAAGGAGATCCTGCTTTTTTTCTCTTTCTGAGCAGAAATTCCGCTTGGTAGCAGATACATTTTCTGTCTTTTAGAGACTTGCTTAGCAAGACCATGATCCAGTCTGCACTGAGGTTTTGTTTTTCTGGGGCTACACATGCCTGTTTAGGGTTTAGCGACTCACTGTGTGCAGTGCTTGGAGGTGTTCAAAAAACGTTTAGATGTGGCGCTTCAAGACATGGTTTAGTGGGTCTAGTGGGCATGGTGGCATCGGGTATACAGTTGGACTTGATGATCTTTGAGGTCTCTTCCAACCATAATGATTCTGTGATTCTATGAAATGGAAGAACATTAACCCCCATGGAATTTAATTTTTCCTCACTTTGGAAACACCTTAGCCTCACATTTAAAAAATAAAAAAGCGTTGTCTTAGCACCTCTCCTCTGCCAACTTGGTAGCTGCGCTGTTCTATATAAAACACTGATGCTGAAGTAGTGGCTTCTTAGATTGTTTTAGGGGGTTCAAACGAGTATTGGCATTTGCTACAGGATTCTGACGCGTTTTCAGTCTGACCCTAGGGAGAAGCTGATCACATGTACATCCCATGAGACTAATCACAGTAAAGATGTAGCAAGGCATTTATTTCAGGGATAAAAACCCAGAACAACATATTAGAGAAAGGGATTAGTTGGGAAATGTTTTTTATGGATTTTCTTTTTTAACTTGGTAGAATTAGAAGGGTCACAGAGAGGGATGAATTCCTTAACTCTTGATGAAAAGTGCTTTCATCAGATGAAGAAGAAGCAGGGTTTTTTTTCTTTCTCAAACCACTACAAGTGCATGAGTGACAATAGTTCACAGTATATGATACAAGGGAACTGCTCAGAGAAAGCTGTGAATGGGCAAGGCCCAAAGAAAATGTAAACTAAACAAAAGGGTCTTGTATTAATAGGATATTACATAGCCTATACAAAAATATCTGCTTTAATTTTAGTTGTTAGTCATACATACTGACATCATTTGTGTGTCTGCCACTCATGAGAGAAGGGCCATGGCTGTTATAAAAATAAATCTGAAATCTTTAGTTGTACAAGAACAACCCTAATCTTATGTTTTCACATAAATGAAGAAGAGCTAGCTTCATTCTTCACTGAAAAACTTCTAACATGTTCTGTTTCTTTCTTCATTTTATATCTAAAAGTCCATGGCAATAAATCTGCCAGAATCCAAACGCACACACATATGTAAAAAGTTGCTGTAAAATGTATTTTAATCAAGTTTTGTGTTGCTAAATTTAATTCTTACACAGGAAATCAAATGACCTCTTTAATAACAAAGTTTAGATGTATGAAGGGAATGCAATGCTCCAAAGTTCTTTGTGAGCGAAGCAATACAGAAGTATCTGTGCATCCCGGAGAAGGTTACCTGTGATTCAAATCTGTACTAGCATACCGTGTTGGAAACGTAACAGATAGGAGTTCTGGGTACCAATCGACATGGTGCAGACAATCTCCGGTCACTTAGAAACAAAACAATCAAAACTGTTTGCAGAATCTGGCTTATATTAAAACATACTTGAAATGCATATGAATTATCCCTCATTGACCTAGAAAGAAAAAAAACCCACATGGTTGCCTGATTCAAATACTTCAAGAACTTTTGAAATCTCACCCTGTTCACAGTTTTGTTTTTCTTATCTATGTCTTTTTATCACAGTGTTTCC